ATGCAAAAATTATATATATATATATATATATATATATATATATACAAAAATTACAAACATTTTTCATCTGATTAATTTATTTATCAAATAAATAAAAAGCAGATCAAAATAATCAATAGTTGCAGGCCTAGAATACTACATTATAAATTATTATTAAAACAAAATATAACAGTACTATTAACACTAATTTATATGTTCTATATATAATGTGTACATTTATTCTACATGCATTGTTGTTTTAGTATAATCGCTGAGATTCATTAACATTTTAAATTGGTTTTTATTTTTATTTTTTATTTTATTTTTTATTTTTAGTAATTTTGTTTCAATACTGTACATCAAATTAATCTAAATGAATAAATAAATTAGCAACTAGTTAGAATAAAATACGTTTAGGCTTTTTAAAATATTTTTTATTTCGGTTAACGTTTATTTTAAGTAGCACAAATGTTTTTTAGTTTAGTTTTTTTTAGTTTTAGTTAACTATGATAATCCTGCTGGAATGTATACTAAAGCATAAGTGATCTATTAAAAACGTCGATATAAATCAAGACAATATGCACGCCTACACACAGTAGCCCCAAAATGTATTTGGACATTTCAATCACAAAATAAAACTATGCATGTCACTGCATTAGATACTAAATACAAACCCAAGTGGCATTTATTTTCAAGAAACTCAAAAAAAAAGCAAGTAAACACTAGTTCAGTTTAAAATCTATTAAAACACTACAATCAACAACACACCAGCTGATTCAAAGACAAAATGAGCACAAATGGTGAAGTCTGTCTGATATCTACTGCAGTGTGACGCAGATGTTCAAACACTTTCTGGAGCCATTGTTAGTCAAAGTTCAAGTAAAGGAAACATACTCTTCATTTTCATACAGGTACTTGACTGTCATCCACGGCAGCACAAATATGAGCGGCGCACCTGCAACACAAGAGAGACAGAGTCAGTCTGCCAATCAAACGCTTCGTCAAACGCTCCTTTCTTCTGACTTCTGATCTGAATAAACCACGGAAAATTTCTCCAAAGTCAGTCACGTTTGCTCTTCTGAATCTATCGTCAGAAACATGTCAAACCACTCGGTGAAAATGACTGATGTTTTATGGCCTCTCTTTGTGCTAATTCTGAGCGGCTCAGACTTCAGTTATAAGAAAAACAGTCTTCTGAAAGGACGTGATTATGAATGATTGTGTCTGACGCACCCCAGCCGATGCAGAGGTAAATGTAGAAGTAGTTCCTCTCGGAGAAGACGGTGATGACCAGCAGGCTGTGCAGATACAGACCCTCCACCAGCAGCCAATAGTTGTTGGCCATGACGCTGTACTGCATCATCACCATGGCGACACGGCAGCCACTCACCGTCTGAGGAACACATATGCAAATTCAGCCTCTGATGACACGCCCACCGACCAATCACAGACAGCCTGACGTACAGGAGCGTGATACTATTAGTGACAAAGTGTTATATCATATTTATTTATTCATTATCAATATATGATTAATGGATATATAATAGATATTATGTTGAATCACTCTCATGGAATTAATTTTACGGGCTGCAACAACTAATCAATAAATTCAACAATAATAATCGAAAGAATCAACAGTGAATTTGATCATCCATAGCATAGCCTGCATATATAAATTCACTATATTTATTTTCACAGTCCTGCAAAATTGCATATGTTTAGAGGACAACATTGGGCAGGATGTGGTATTATATTATTACAACTACATATAACACATCGTTTTATACCAGATTACATATCAGTTTAACTAATTTTCAATAACAGTGATTTGAAAGCAACTGGAAGAAATAAAATAATCTTTAAAAATATGTGAAATTCTTCAAATGTCAGCCTGAAACACAACAATTACATCTTTTTAAATGTTAATTCTATTCTATTCTATTCTATTCTTTCCAGCTGCCTTTTAATCACTCTTATTGACAATTAGTGATATATGGTATACATTATTATTAATATTATTATTATTATTATATTTTAACATATCACATACTTTGCAATGAAACTATTCAAAATAAATAAAAAATTACTTTTTTTTTTTTTTTTTTAACAAAATGTAATTTTTTTTA